TACCTGTGTTTTATTAATCTGCTAAAACCTACCTTGTAATTATACCCACCTTCTTAGTATTTACTAAATACTTATCTAATTTAAACTAATTACTTAAGTACAGTAACGCATAGGTAACAATCTTGGCACGTCACTGTTCAACCGCTACATCCATGTATATCAGCATTATAGAACACCTGCTATAATCAACAAAGAGCGATACGCGCACTCTGTAGCTTGCTTATTTATACTCTTAGGACAACAAACTAATAAGTGCTAGCACAATCTTAGTAGAACAATATATATATATATATATATATATATATATATTATTTATTTATGTCAATTAACAAGGATCATAGGGTAAAATAACATTCGTTAATATCTATTCTAATACTAGAATTATAATTCATTTCTAATATTAATTACATCAAATGCGTACCTAAGTATTTATAATATCGAAAATAAAATAATAATATTAATAATAATAATAATATAACAAAATATCTGGACCTGGCTCACGAGGTAACCGACATGTGGGGTGGTCTGCCGACCGAAATTATTCCTGTAGTCGTCTCTGCAAACGGGCTAATCCCAGTCAGCCTCTCGGGTCATCTGAGGCGACTGGGACTCCGTGACGGACCGCTCCGGGCTCAAATGCAGAAGGCAGTGGTCCTCGATACCGCCCGCATCGTCCGTCGGTTTCTTTCCCTTTCCCCCTAACCCTCGGCCGTTTGGTCTCCCCCTGCCGAGGGCTTCCATCTGGTTGGATCTTTATTTATTTGTGTATTTTTTGTATTTATTTTATTTTATTGATATTTATGTATATTTATCTTTTCATTTTAATTTATAATTATATATTTATAGAAACCAACCAGATGAGAAAACTATACAGATACCCCAAAGATAATAATAATAAAATAACATAAATCGATTTCACCGTTACACATACATCATATTCGATTTAATTGTATATTAACAAAACCACCAACAACACTTACCATAATGATATAATACAATACTTTTTGTTAAATATACAAAGAAAAAGTCTTAAATATATGTGAGTAAAATTAGGCAATACATTAGTTCATATACCTGGGGTGCCTGTCCGAAGCAATGGGTACATGGATATGAACCCAGTGCCTCAAAAAAGTACACTCAGGTTTCTCACTAATTACGTTAAGAATGCTGTTGGCGCTAGAAAGCCTAGGGGGACTTTTTTAAAGTAAATCATACAATATGAAAGTTGTACAAACTATTTACAAGGTGCGTAGCTTAGTGTGCTTGCTAGTTTAGATATATTGGGACCCCACTGAAGCTTTGCATTGAGAGTGATGTCAAGACAAACAGTGGATTTAACAATCCTTCTTCCCCATTTAAAACAGTTTTTTTCAGTTTTCACAATCCAGCGACATCTAGTGAGCGGAGGATTATTATTAGCCCTCATTAAAGTAACAGCCCTAACAATTTGAGTTGCGTTTAGATTTGACATTCTCAGTTTTATATATGTACAGTAAAAATTCACACTCAAAACGATAAACAAGGCAGTCAAGGCAAAAAATTAAACCTAAATTCAAGTTGGCAAAAATTTTCGCATTAAGAGAGTACGCAATATTATAGTATATAAAAAAACTATATATATACTCCCACAATATATATATATATATATATATACAATATGTAACGTAATTAACGCACAACCCCAATTAGTATATTATGTTATACTCATAATACATACACTGAATTTTAGTTAAACATTTTTATGCACTGATTATTTATCAAATTTGTTATACTAATTCCGGAAGAATGTTGTGGTCACAGTACAAATCCACGAACGCAGACATGATTTAAATAAAGTTCATTTTTCTTTATTTTTATTGAATGACAGAATTAGTAATAATTCAAATAAAACTGCACTATTAAAAGTCTTATTGCTTTAAATTACGGTCCATTTCAGTTGGTTTTGACTATACAGATTTAGTGTGACTGTAATTTACGTAGTTTAAATTATTTTTGGGATAAAAATTACCTATATTAAAAATTATAGGAATCGATTCAGTAAACGATTCTGAACAAACTACTTGTATATTTATATTATATATAAATATATAGTATATTATATATATATATGTATATATATATATATATATATATATATATATATATATTTATATATTTATTATAATTAAGTAAGATGTGCGTGCGACCAAAATATACCCAAAACAGCAGGGACTGGCTGAAAAACAGTGCTGAGCATAATGCCCAGCGAATACTGAGCCTGTGCCCGTTGCGTCACATTATAATCGTATACTGAGTAATATTAGTTAATCTGTTAATTGTGAATGTTTTTATTTTTTATTTTAAGTCTAATCATTTTTATGTGTATACTTACTTTGTAAACTATTCATTTGTAAACTTATTATTGTGTGGCAATAAATATTTATTATTATTATATATATATATATATATATATATATATATATATATATATATATATATATATATATATATATATATATATATATATTTCGTGGGAGCGCCAACAGCATTCTTAACGTAATTAGTGAGAAACCCGAGTGTACTTTTTTTGAGGCACTGGGTTCATATCCATGTACCCATTGCTTCGGACAGGCACCCCAGGTATATGAACTAATGTATTGCCTAATTTTACTCACATATATTTAAGACTTTTTCTTTGTATTTTTAACAAAAAGTATTGTATTATATCATTATGGTAAGTGTTGTTGGTGGTTTTGTTAATATACAAATTAAATCGGATATGATGTATGTGTGCGGTGAAATCGATTTATGTTATTTTATTATTATTATTATTTTTGGGGTATCTGTATAGTTTTCTCATCTGGTTGGTTTCTATAAATATATAATTATAAATTAAAATGAAAAGATAAATATACATAAATATCAATAAAATAAAATAAATACAAAAAAATACACAAATAAATAAAGATCCAACCAGATGGAAGCCCTCGGCAGGGGAGACCAAACGGCCGAGGGTTAGGGGGAAAGGGAAAGAAACCGACGGACGATGCGGGCGGTATCGAGGACCACTGCCTTCTGCATTTGAGCCCGGAGCGGTCCGTCACGGAGTCCCAGTCGCCTCAGATGACCCGAGAGGCTGACTGGGATTAGCCCGTTTGCAGAGACGACTACAGGAATAATTTCGGTCGGCAGACCACCCCACATGTCGGTCACCTCGTGAGCCAGGTCCAGATATTTTGTTTGCTTATCTGTTTCGGCTTTCACGAGGTTCTCGTCATACGGAATGGTAATGTCGACCAAAAATATCCTTGACTGTGCCCGGTCCATCAGCACAATATCAGGCTTATTTGCAAGAATAGTCCTGTCTGTGATGATGGCCCGGTCCCAGTAGAGCCTGGCGCGGTCATTTTCGAGCACGGCTTCCGGCAAGTACTAGTAATACGGCAATTTCCGGTCCACGAGATCGTATTTCAGAGCGAGCGCCTGGTGTAGAATTCTGGCTACTAGGTTGTGCCTGTGCAAGTACTCAGAGTTAGAAAGCGCCGAACAACCGGAGATGACATGTCTAAGTGACTCCCCGGGATGGCGACAAGCTCGACAGACGTCGACGGTGCCATCCTTTAGGATGTATCTCCGATAGTTGTTGGTCTTAATAACCTGATCCTGTATTGCACAGACAAAACCCTTGGTTTCCCCGAAGAGGTCACTGAAACGTAGCCAGTTGAGGGAGGCGACTGTATCTACGAAGGGCTCATGTAGAACCCTGTAGTACCTCCCGTGGAGCTCCTTCTCCTTCCATACGGTCTCCCGGTCGGAAATGCTAAGCACTGCTGGGTCCTGCCATTGCTCGTTGGCCAAGGATAGAGGGGTAAGCCCTTTATCACTAGAAATGACGTCATTATAGAATGGATCATCCGATCTCGCCAGGAAGTAATGACGGAGGCTGCACACTTCACGATTATGCATAGTGAGCGCGCTTAGAAAGCCACGCCCACCATGCTTTCGCGGCAAGTACAGCCTCATTACCGACGATCTCGGATGATGCATCCTATGGGACGTCATGGTAGTGCGGACTTTTCTATCCAGGGCGTTAAGTTCAGTCTGAGTCCACCTGAGTATGCCAAAGGTATACATAAGGACAGGCATGACCCAACCGTTATATGCGTGTGTCTTATTCACACCGGACAAAAAGGCTATTAAGCACTTTGGTCAAGCGTTCATAAAACACGTCGCAAACTGACTGTTTCACACCAGCCTCATCGATACCGATGTTCTGTGACATACCCAGGTATCGGTATGTTTCAGCCTCGGAAAGGGTCCTTAAGTTGACGGGCATAGATAAATCTATGCCCTCAGAGTTAGCAACCCTTCCCCTCTCAACATGGAGGACCGCACACTTATCCGTCCCCAGCTCCATTCCAATGGAACTGCTAAACTCACAAGCGATTTTTAGCAATTCCACAAGATGGGAGCGACTGGAGGCGAATAACTTGAGGTCATCCATATAGAAAAGGTGGGTCACTTTTGTCCCTCCTCTCCGTAGCTGAAATCCCCTCCCGGAGCCCTCCAGTAAGGTACTGAGAGGGTTAAGAGAGAGGCAGAACCAGATTGGACTCAGACAATCGCCCTGGAAGATACCCCTTCTTATCCTTATGTGGTTCTCCGCAGCCGTCATCCGCTCGCCCAGATGACAAAGGATCGTACTCCACTGCCCCATACACTGCTCGAGGAAGTCTCTAACTGTACAGTCAATCTTGTACAGCTCGAGGACCCTCTTTAGCCATGTATGGGGCACCGAGTCGAACGCCTGTCTGTAGTCTATCCAGGCGGCAGAGAAGTTCCGACGGTTGCGTTTCACCACTTTGCCTATTACCGCGTCAATGAGGAGTGGTTCCTTAGTTCCACGACCACCGCCCCGACATCCATTTTGAGCGCGTGACATCACCTGGTTTAGCTCCAGGTGACGAGTGATTCTCGCGCTCAAAATGGATGTCAGTGTCTTATATATGGTGGGTAGACACGTGATGGGGCGGTATTTGCTCGGGTCTGTGGTATCTTGATCTTTAGGAACCAAGTGAGTGATCCCAGTAGTGAAGAGGCTCGGGAGTGACTTCTGGTCGAGAGCCTCTTGAAACTGTCGGGCGAGCACAGCGTGACACACTACGAACCCCTTCAGCCAGTAATGATGCAGCCCGTCGAGCCCCGGACTTTTCCAGTTCGGGGCCCTACGGACCGCCTCAGCCACGTCTTCTGGCGTTATGGTGATGGGGTCCATAGGCGTAACACTCGCACCCTGGCTCGCCACAACTTCCATCCAAGGGCCCTCAATGTGGTTTACGGGCTCTGACCACAGGCCACGCCAGAATGCGATAATGTCAGCCTGATCCGGTCCTTGGCCCGCTACACATACCTTTGGTCGCTCCAATAATTTATAGAGCCTCTTCTGATCACTCTGGAAGAGACGATTCTGGTTGAACCGCCTTGACCCCTCGGAAAATCGTCGAATCCGCTTCCCCCAAGCAGCGATCTTTTGCTTCAGGTCGTCTATGCGCTCCGTTAGTTTCTGCGTGATATCCGGCTGGGACAAACTGATATTTGTCCCAGCAAACGCCATCCTAACGGTGCGCATAATCCTCGGTCTATTATTACCCGACCTGAAGTTTGTCAGTCTGCCAATAAGGGCCCTTGCCTTTGCGATACGGTCCTCGATTCTTTTCCTCCAGGCTGGGATGGCGTTACTTTGTGTAGTAGCGCGTCCAGCCATGGGAAGTTTGGCGCCAATAATACGGCAAACTGCCACTGCGGCGCCAAAGAGAATCGAGTCCGTCTCGCAAAGGTCCCGGCTGGCTTCCAAATAGGTCACCAGCATTGGGTTAAGAGCCCTCACGACAGCCCGATTTCGCTTGCTTAAGGGTATGCGGGGAAGTCGCGGTCGATTTTCGAGAGGGGTGCTGCGCGTTTCCAAAATCGCCTCTTCCAATATACTCCTCATTTGCTCTAGTTCGTGGGAGACTATTTCATCGTCGTTCGAATCAACCACAACTGGAAGATCCATGGCGGCTTCCACGTGTGGATGCTGGTCTGTCGAATGTGGAGCTGCATCTCCAGCCATAGCCGATTCATTCGACGACGGAATAGCCTCACGTCGTAGTCGTTCGAGTTCGGCATCATCAAATATTTTCGAGCGCATGATGTACCGAACTCGGTCTGCCAGGTTTTGTTCCGTGACGGGGATAGACGGCTCCAGCTCAGCAAAAAAGCAATGCATCCGAGACCTATACGCTATTCCCACAGTTTCTTCCCCTTTCGCCCTATAGTACGCCCGCAATGCGTTTTCGTTCATGGATTTTGTCCAACGCATGCGACGTGCTCCACCAGCGGCGGGTGCCGCTTGCTGGGTCCGAGAAGACCCAGCCGACACCAAGCCTTCTGGTGGGGATGATGGATGCGAGGGGCTGCTAGGTGATCGTGCAGCTCCTCGCGCTCGGCTGGCGGCCCGCATGCTGCCGCGTCCAGCGCCAGCTCCAGACGCGCCCCGGCGACCCCCAGGCAGCGGCCCTATGCGCGTTCCTTTTTGTGTTTCTTCCATCATCCATTTTATGGGCGCCAAATAACGGGAGACGCCCAAGCCCGGCACCGTTTCGTGGTTGGGTCATATGCACAAACGGACCTTTGCATCTACAATTTTGCCTAGACACGGCGCTCACACCTCTTGGCAGGATGCTGACTGACTGCGCCGACGTCGCAGTTTTGTCACATAACTGTTACGTCAGCGGGCGATGGGGTCGTCACTTCCCTACGCCTTATTATTATTATTATTATTATTAAATTATTATTTTATTTTCGATATTATAAATACTTACGCATTTGATATAATTAATATTAGAAATGAATTATAATTCTAGTATTAGAATAGATGTTAACGAATGTTATTTTACCCTATGATCCTTGTTGATTGAAATAAATAATATATATATATATATATATATATATATATATATATATATATATATATATATATATATATTGTTCTACTAAGATTGTGCTAGCACTTATTAGTTTGTTGTCCTTAGAGTATAAATAAGCAAGCTACAGAGTGCGCGTATCGCTCTTTGTTGATTATAGCAGGTGTTCTATAGATGCTCCCAGGAGCTTTTTTTCGAACCACTGGTAAAAGTAAAAAATTACATGATAAGAATTACATGTAATCTATTGTGAATAAAAAATATTCTATTATTATTAAATTAAAAATTATTTTTTGTATTCACCCTATCCTCCGCGACCCCGACGGGGCCGCACCGTTGATGCGGTGGTCGTGGGCCGCGGAGTGTCAGCAGTGTCGCTATTGCGAGGTGTCGCTCTCCCTACCATCCGAAACCGAAACTCGTTAGGCGGCGGAGTCACAGACCAGATCCGCCCCTGGGGTCAGGAAAGCTGGTGCTTTCGTGTGCTCGTTTTTTTCACGGCCCCGAGGATAAAACGTGTCACCACGTATTAGATTCGGAGGGTTCGTTGCGCAGGTGGAAATAGAGACCGCTGAGGAAGGCGTGCCTTGTGTTGCTGGTGCAATTTACTTGAGAAGGAGAAGGGAGGAGTTTTTCCGAGGAGGAACTGCCATGGAGTAGCCGCTGCAATGAGACCGCGGATGTGTGCGTTCCCGTTCCCGTAGCGCCAATATGCGGCGAAGCTTGAACAACATAGGGCTTAGTCGGTGCAAGTCCGACATAAACCAAGCTCCCACAAAGCGGGTATGCGTAGGCATTTCCACATGTAAAAAAAAAACAAGAGGCCAGACAACGTGATAAATAATGAGGTAATAATTCCGTATCTTTACTTGTCATTATTCATATTGTCCGAGTATTATTAGGTACAGTTCTGTCTGTTGCCAGCCGTTAACAGACAGTTTTATTAGAACTTAGAGAACACACATCATTACAAATCACTATGTGTTGCTTTCTACGTACCTATCTATATCTATGCCCACATATTTTTTGCCAATCGTAACAAAATTTTATCATTAGAATTTCCAATCTGCTCTCCAATCATTTTTTAATTTTTAATCAGCTTTGGTAATTTGCCCAAAATAAGTTCTTTTTTCCGTAAGCACAGTAACAAAATTGGAAGAAATACGTAGCAAAAATTGTTTGTCTATATTTAAATACATTAAGAGAAAGACTTATTTTTCTCAAGCTTTCGTAAAAAAAAATCTTAATCACTGTTTATGAGATAACGATCACTGCTGATGAAACTTAATCAAAGTGATTATTAATATGATAAGATATGTAAAGAAATGCATTGATTGAATCAGTTAAATATCAACACACCAAGTTAGTGTCCTTTATTCTAATTACAAAATAAAAATAGCTAAATAATTGTTTAAGTAACGTGTAAATAATGATTTACAAAGAAGCGATCCTTTTTAAATTATTTATATACGGCCTAGTGTGGGTTCTAAATTTCTCCATATCAGAAGGTTTATAAATTTGCTTTCATTTTTCAAGTTTTTGAAGAATAGAACGATTTCGATTAATAATATAACTTCCAGGAATGACAACTAGAATAATAGGGGGTTATAGAGCACCACAGGAATTCGGTAGATTTCATACATCTCTTCAAAATTTAACTGGGCATCACGTCTGCGGCGGTGCGGTTGTTTCCCGAAGACATGTATTAACAGCTGCGCATTGTGTAAACAGGTAAGAGTGGAAGATCTTTTATGAAAATATTTTTGTCACATTAAGTCACATTAAATTGATTTTTGAATATAATCGGTTTCGGGCGTGATATGATTTATACTCAATCGAACTCTATTTGCATTTAAAATCCATTTGTTAGGTTTAAAAATTACATAAATGTCCGCTCTCAAGGGTTACAGACACAGTAATCGCAATTTAACTTGATCATATGCATTTGTATTTAAATTTAATATAAGTATATTTATTTTAATTATTCGGACTTGACCAAATAAACATCGGATAAATCCAGGTTTATTAGTTTTATGGGTGTCGCCCGTAACCGTAACAGATATACAGTCTAGCTCATCGACAATTCTATGATAAGTTCTTTTCTAACTAAGTAGTTTTGAAATTTACCAAAACAGATAATATTTTAAGGGGACCTAAACAAATTAAATAAAACAAATAAAAAATTACATGGATTCTTTTTCTGATAACCTATGAAAAAGTTTATAATATAATATTGGCTGGTACACCGACGCATTGCTGCCACAGAAGAAGTAATTGTGGAAATATAGTTTTAAGTTTGGAAAAGTTATAATGTTCAATTGGAAATAATAATACAATAATTGAAGTTGCATGATCTACATACAATATCCAAATAAATTTGTCGGCAAGATACACGCGCCACCTACTGCAAGTTAATTGTACTATGCCTATAACCTTCGCGTAAGTGCAAACAATATGTTGTCAAAGTTTTAGCGCAATCTGATGAACCATAGAATACTATAATAAAACATAATAGAACGGGGGAGTGGGCGGAGTCCGTGTAGCCACTAAAATGCCACTAAGGCGTCAATTCAACTATAAAATGTCAACATGAAATGTGTGATGTTTGACGTTACAATCGTTTCCAAATTTCGCATGCAAATTATTTAGAAAACGCCAAATTGCACGCTATTTACAAATAAATATGTATTAAAAATGCGTCTGTCAACACAGCGAATCAGGTTTGTAGTAGTGATTAACTGATAATACGACGTAACTGCTCGTAAGTGTGCTCCCGGCGACGCCTATCCTCGTACAAAATAAGGTTGACAGCCATTCTATTGTGTATTATAGTATTCTATGTATTCTATGTGATGAACTATATGGCAGCGCATAAAATACGAACAAACATTATTTTTTTATATATTAGAAGATAAATGACTATTCCGTAGCTTTTGTTGGAAAGTGTGAATTTTTTTGATATTACTGTGTATTCACAATAGTGTCTCAATTAATTATTTCAGGGTAGAGCCGCAATACATTAAAGTTGTTGTTGGTACTACGGATTTAGATAAAGGAGGCAAAAAATATTCTGTGAAGCATATACATATTTATAAAGGATATAATTCAAATCAAAAAACAAATGACATAGCTATTATAAACATCAAAGGTTTATTTAGTTCGAATTATGTTGACATATTGAAGCTCCCAAAAACCCAGTTACGAGATGGAGACGAAGTCATTATTTCTGGTTTTGGGGCACAGGAGGTATAAGTATGATTGTGTTAAACTTATAAAAGGTTTATAAATTTTTATTTAATATTGGAATAATTAAATGAAGGAATTGTAATTTTGCTGCTGAACCACAAGCTTCACCGAAAATTTTCTTTCACAATTTTTAAAAATTAAACTCTTTAAATGCATAGATAATTATAAAATAATGTATACACGCATGACGTCTAAAATCATAAGCCTATAAACAAAAATAAAATTTTGTTAATCTTTTTTTTTGTAATAACAAAATCAAAGTCGAATCATGGTTGCGTAGTGGCTAAGCGTTTGACTCCCAGCACTGTGAGCTGCGGGTTTAAACTTCGCACAGAACAACTACTTATAATAATGATATGGCCAAGAAATACAATTTTTTAGGGTAGGTTTTATAATTACGCATGTACATGCCTCCACAATACAATAGAAATGACCAGTGTGGGGTATGTATTATAATTAAGCTACAAAGAATAAAAAGTAACATATATATATATATATATATATATATATATATATATATATATATATATATATATATATAAAAAACAGTGTGTAAGTGTAAACACCGTTGTCACTGAAACCGTAGGTAGTTGGCTTTAGTATAAAAATATTTATCCGATTAAAAAAAAACGCTATTTTCTTTCATAAAATTAAAAAAGTTTCTGTCCGACACTATCCGTAAATTAATGGATACCCTATGCGCTCGAGTGATGTAATCACTGCTACCTACACATCATTTCAATAAAAACACAATGGTACACATAACCTATGATGTAACTATTCCTTCATACTTTCACACTGGCTTAGGATAGATAAAAATTCCTACCCCTTGTGTTGCGTGACGAGTCCAAATTAATGTAAATTAGATTTAACAACAAAGAAAATTAAACATTAATAATAGTAAATCATTAGGTAGGATTTTTGGCGTATTTAAAAGGTTAATCATAATGTTATGCACACACGGCTACACAAGTTATGCAAAACCAATGGGTAGCTCGCCGTCCAATCAAGGAACCGGGGTCCCGGGAATCTCTTAGCAGGATACCGCGGCCCTGGAATGCAAAGGGCATTTGAAGCATAAGCGGTCAGCGTATGCTTCAAATGCTTCATTGTTTTTTTAATGTGTCATTTCTCTAAACACACTAAGAATTCGCCTTTTGAGTTCGGACGTATTACGGAACTTAGTTGCATACACTCGGCGCTTTACTTCGCCCCAAAGATAAAAGTCCAGCGGGGTAAGGTCGGGCGAACGCGCTGGCCACGCCACTGGCCCTCCACGTCTTATCCATCGCGTTGAATATCGGCACGGCGCGCGGCGCGGGGGGTTAAATCAAATTTAAACGTACGACGTACTAGCGACGCAGCGACCGACTGACATACTGAAACAGCGACGCTATGGACTGTGGGCTGATGGCCTTGACCGCTCAGCTGCGCACGAAATCCCGTGCCAATAGCTGCCACTACGATATGTTGACTAAAATTTTGTATATGCCTAGGGTGAAATAATTTTAAGGAAAAATTGAGATTTGACTAAAAAAATGTTGTTATTTTTCATTGAATTTACGTTCTATAAGTGAAACCACACCACTAGTTTCAAGGACAACGGTGTTTTTATACATATATATACACACATTGTATATATATATACACACACACTATGTAACAAAAACCCTGTGGTTCCCGTTAAGTGCGTTATCAGAATCAGTATTCAAACGTATAGAAATAATTTTACTTCAGAAAACTCGACATAAAAATAATCAAATTAAATTTTAATTAAATAATATTTGTAAATTTAATGTGGATTGATTACCTCTGCGTGGAATTATCGACAGCGGCGGGTGGCGGCCGGCGGTGACGTACATCAGACGGGGCGCGCGCGCGCGTCTTACCTACACTAACTGCACACTGAGGTCGTGACCTCATCACATCACAGCTGTTATAGTCAAACACTAATTTATCACTATGTCTACTTGACGACCACGAAGATGTTGTTCAATATGTCCACCTTGCACCTCTATACATTACATTACACTACACACATACATACCCTGCGGCAGATTGTACAGAAGACTGAAGAGTACAATCTGCCACTTTGCCTGGCGTATGTGGACTATGAGAAAGCCTTTGATTCCGTCCAAATTTGGGCGGTGCTACAGTCCCTTCAGCGGTGCCAAGTTGACTGTCGGTATATCGAAGTGCTGAAGTGTTTGTACAGTAGGGCTACGATGGCTATCCGAGTACAGAACCAGAGCTCGAAACCTATCCAACTGCAGAGAGGTGTAAGACAGGGTGACGTTATATCCCCGAAACTCTTCACCGCTGCATTGGAAGACGTTTTCAAGCTACTGGACTGGAAAGGATACGGTATTGACATCAATGGCGAGTACATCACTCACCTTCGATTTGCCGACGATATAGTCCTTATGGCAGAATCGCTGGAGGACTTAAGCACTATGCTCAATGACCTCAATAGTGCGTCCCAACGGATAGGTCTTAAGATGAACATGGACAAAACAAAGATCATGTTCAATGTCCATGTCACACCTATGCCGGTAGTTGTTGGGAGCACTATGGTCGAAGTTGTTGACGAATACGTTTACCTGGGACAAATAGTCCGACTAGGTAAGTCCAACTTCGACCGAGAGGTCAATCGACGGATTCAACTCGGCTGGGCAGCGTTCGGGAAATTACGGCATATCTTTTCGTCAGGTATACCTCAATCTCTAAAAACTAGATTGTACAACCAGTGCGTGTTGCCAGTGATGACTTACGGATCTGAGACGTGGTCCTTCACTGCTGGCCGTATGAGGACGCTTAAGGTCGCTCAGCGAGCTATGGAGAGGGCTATGCTCGGAGTTTCTCTGCGTGATAGACTCAGAAATGAGGATATCCGCAGTAAAACCAGAGTGACCGACATAGCCCAACGGATTAGTAAGCTGAAGTGGCAATGGGCCGGCCATATAGCTCGAAGAACCGATAACCGATGGGGAAGAAAGGTTCTCGAGTGGCAGCCTCGTACCGGTAGGCGTAGTGTAGGGCGACCCCCCACTAGATGGAGTGACGACCTGGTAAGACATGCAGGAAGTCGATGGATGCAGGTGGCTCAGGACCGTGCTTTGTGGCATTACTTGGGGGAGGCCTATGTTCAGCAGTGGACTTGTGAAGGGCTGTAATGATGAATGATGATGATGTTTCGAAGTCGGTGGTTAGAATTCCGTTCCTAAAAAAGGTAAAAACTTTTTTGATGTTTTCGTGAAAAAATCTTATCTTTCTTAAATATATGTCATATTTCCTTGCACTTTCACTGGTTTTGCACTTAATTAAATTCGAAATCATTTCTATAAAATTACAATTTTGTTTTAACATCTGTTAAAGCTCTACTTGCGTCGTATAAATCGATATCGAATTTTTGTAAAATTTTGGTTGCATAATGGAAGTCATACAATATTTGGGGCATAAATTTACAAAGCAATACTATTTTCTGCTTCGCTACGCTTATGTTTACTGTAACTCTTCAGTACTATTTCTGATAATGCCTTGATCTACATCAAATTATATAAAAACAAACGAAGTTTTATTGCAAATATCGTATTAATTCTACTAGACCTTTTTTCTAATCGGATTAATTTTTTGGAATGGTTTCTGATTCGCTAATGAATTTCGACAGTAGATCCCAACGCTTAAGGCTATTCCCAAAAAAGTTAGGTATGTCTTGAATTGTTGCAAAAATATCTGTAGTTTTACGCAACTGCTAACCGCAACATTTATCACTAAGTTCAACTGGCGTAATTTCCGTATTTCGCCATTGGCTGAATATTCTTAATTTTTTGGCACTCCATTATAAATTCCACTCATAACACTCACTCCATCCTCAGCGTTAAAGTCTGAGAGGGAACTCTACTGATTGCGCTAATATGAGTCGGGTAAATTGGAAGTTTAAAACTAAAATCAGCTGATTCTCAAGGTGCCTTATGAGCTGGCAGTTTATAATGGATTCCATTATTTCGGAGAATAAGGAGCCGATGGTAATAAGCCTGTAGTTGGACAATTCTGAGCGGTCACCTCTTTAAGGATCGGGTTCGTTCTGAAATGTAGCTCTATAAAAATCTAAAAACCTTCAACCTTTAAAAATGTCAGGGCTTGGAGGACCCGGTTGTTATAAAGTTGTAAGGCATACGGCAAATATTAGACTTACGAAATCCTATAAAGTACACCCATATTTGAGACGACTATCCCGCCAACAAATAGATTACCCAAACTAAAACTGGCACGTCACAACGCAGACAATATTTGGGAGGTATCGATATCTATACTTTCCCCGATCCTATCATATCGATTCTTTTACTAGGTCCCTCTAGTTACATACCACCTCTCTCTTGACTCATTTCTGGCGCTAAATAGCTGTACTCACCCTGCTATGTTCCGGTTTGAAGGGTATAGAGTCATCATCATCATTACAGCCCTTCACAAGTTCACTGCTGAACATAGGCATCCCCCAAGGTATGCCATAAAGCACGGTCCTGAGCCACCTGCATCCATCTACTTTCTGCATGTCGTACCAGGTCGTCACTCCATCTAGTGGCGTGTCGCCCTACACTTCGCCTACCGGTAGAGGCTGCACTGAGAACCTTTTTTCCCATTTTTTCCTTCTTTGCCGCCATTACTTCCAGGCTTGTTTGGTTCTATGCGGTTCTTTTGTTTGGACTGCTCGGGCAGTGAAGGATGTCTGGCAACACGCACTGGTTGTACAATTTAGTTTTCAGGTTTTGAGGTATACATGACGAGATGTGGCGTAATTTCCGAACGCTGCCCAGCCGAGTTGAATCCGTCGATTGACCTCTCGGTCGAAGTTGGACTTACCTAGTCTGGCTATTTGTCCCAGTTAAACGTACTCGTCAACAACTTCGAGCTTAGTGCTCCCAACAACTACGGGCATAGGTGTGACATGGACATTAAACATGATCTTTGTTTTGTCCATGTTCATCTTAAGACCTATCCGTTGGGAGGCAATATTGAGGTCATTGAGCATAGTGCTTGGGTCCTCCAGCGATTCTCCTATAAGGACTATATCGTCGGCAAATCGAAGGTGAGTGATGTACTCGCCATTGATGTTAATACCGTATCCTTTCCAGTCCAGTAACTCGAAAACGTCTTCCAATGCAGCGGTGAAGAGTTCGTCACCTTGTCTTACACCTCTCTGCAGTTGGATAGGTTTCGTACTCTGGTTCTGTACTCGGATAGCCACAGTAGCCCTACTGTACAAACACTTCAGCACTTCGATATACCGACAGTCAACTTGGCACCGCCCAAATTTCGACGGAATCAAAGGCTTTCTCATAGTCCACATACGCCAGGCAAAGTGGCAGATATTCAAGTATCGGTTTTCCACCCGCTTTTAGAAACTCCGCTGTAATTCCATCCTGGCCCGGGGACTTGCCGTTTTTAAGGTGCTATAGAGCCATTCTAATCTCGCTTAGACTGACGTCCGGAATATCATCGGAATAGCGTCGGATAAGACTTGCTTTTGGATCGTTACTGACACTTGCGTGTGGCTCCAACGATGATGCCACACTCAGTCTTCAGCTTTGACAGTTGGCTAATTCGGGCAGACAGATTTCTGGAAAAGACTTCCGCTCAATTGCTTCTTCAATACGATCTGTCTGTTTAGTTGCCTGTATGCTGTCAAGTCTGCTGACGACTGCAGCTACATCTCTCGTCTAACATCCATGAGATTAAGAGTGTGATCGGAGAGTTTTTGTGTTCTTCTGCGGCGGGTCTTGCAGAACTTAGCTCCGACCGTATGGACAGTTTCCACGAGCTTGTAATTCATATAAAGGTATAAAGTACCCGGTATAATTAAAGCCTGTGAGGCATTCAATCTTAGTCCAAGAGGTGACAATGCATCTGTATCCTTCTTTGTTTAAAATAAGTTGCAGGTGTTTATTGGCTGCAGTAGCCACTTATCATCAGGTGAAGTGCAAGTTCGTTTGTCAATTCAGTTTTCTAAAATAAAAACATCGATACACTCCGTGCACGGCACGCGGCTCTAACACATAATGCCGCGTCAGCCACATGTGGCTGACACTTTTTAAGTCAATTGAGCCTGTCAGCCATATGGGGCTGACAGGATAGCCTTTTTTTGAAAGTGCTGTTTAGACGTCGTTGGCTACAGTTTTCGTATGAAATTGTATGCCGTATAGCTGACAAGGCCTGGTAAATTATAACTATACTGATGGCACTGCAACATTATTTTATATTTTGAAAAATATTAAGCTTTAAAGTACAAACAAAGTAGTGATGAGAAAAATAATTTGTTTTTATACGGTTTTTTTACAAAATAAAACGAATATATAAAATGTTTTAATTGTTTTTAATCATATTCGACTTGGTATCAGTGACATTATGAATCAAATCTACATCACTCATTATGTTCAAATATATCTGTGATCTAAATTGAAACAATTTATACAGTAGTGCGGCTCATTCGGACAATAAGTTACCACTCTTTTGGTTTTATTTCTCGCATGCACTCTTCTAAATTGGGCACAGTTTTCTTTATAACATCTGACGCAATATTTTCGACAGGCAGAAGCATACCCTTGCTATTTCTTTAATTTGTGCTTTAATCGCCTAGCCCTAGCGGAGGCACCAGATTCCGAAATTCCTATGTTTATCAGGTACTCAACCAATGCATTTCTGAACTGAACAACTGTGAGCTTCTTATTGGTTGTTAATTTATACAATATATATGAATTTACAACCGCCGTATTCAATAATAGCCCCATTGTTAATCTCTTGGACCATTTTATTGTCTTACGAAGAGGAGTCGCATAAGGAGACACCGCTGATTTCGCATGATTATAATCAAACACGATCTTTGGTTTTATTTTTTCCTTGCCTCTTTTAATAATTCTTCTGAAACTTACGGAGTGCTTGGTGAACAGAAGGAGCACATCTCGTTTGTCCTTCCATTCGTAATTATATTGAGCTGAAAATTCGCCTGCTTTCAGCTTGGCTTGAACGACTATTTGCGGTAAACTTCGTCTGTTTTTTCTAAGTGTGCCTAAGAGATGAGTTTGTCCTGCTAGCAGTTTTCGTGCCAGATCCATTACTGGTATACCAGTTGTCGGTGCAAACCGTATGTCCTTTGTTTAGATAATCGTCACACAAAGCAAGGACGACATTAGTCGGTTTAGTGTTTACACAATCGTAGTTTTTGCCAGCATAAAGCACAACAATAGCGCCGGCAGTCACAAGAAAGTCCGGGTTTCGCGCGCTTTTGTATTCAAATGGCTCAACGATTGCTAGTTATCTTAAACATTACGTACTTAAATATAACATAACACTACTCTTCCTGATGCGTCCTTATCCAACTAAATGAGCTACCAATAGAACGTACATCATAGTCTTACACATCATACGAGTATTGAACAGAGATCATACAGCCACGGCCACTGAGCGCGTTCTATAAGGGTTATAAATTATAATAAATTCTATTGGGCGTAACGTTGACTTCCGTGTTTTTCTCTTGCCCAATACATTTATAATTTCAGCCGCTGAAGTGAGTAGATACTAGATACCCTAATTCGTATCAATGATACAAGAATAAAACGAATCTGGAATTAAGCGAATAAAATCCTACACGAAGCAATATGTCTTGTTTCTTTTGAATGTGAATAACAACAGTATTTATCTAATGAGTTGTAATATTATATACGCACATACTTAGACACTTTTTCATTTTGCAGGCTCATGGAATTTCTAGTCGTCATATGTATGCCTTAAATTTAACAGTATTTTGTCAAGAAACTTGCAGCTATGCAATGCGTTATTCGAGAGAAGTAACTAATACAATGTTTTGCACTTTTACCAGGATTGGACAAGGAACGTGCCACGTAAGTTTTTACCATAATCAAATAGTCTTAATTCAATTATAACGATGATTGGGTACAGAAAGAAATCTCTACGCATATTCGCCTCGCGGAGACAAGAATGGGTTATGTCGGACTCGTAACGACTGAAATTACCACAGTGTAGGTATTACCTTCGCCGCATATTTGGTAGGGCAACGGGAAAGCTTTTGCACACATACGCGGGCTACCAGCGCCGGCCGCCCATGGTAGCACCTCTCTCAGGCAGACTTCGCCTCCCTTCTCCTTTTAAAGTAAGACGCACCAGGAACACAACTTACTCCCGGCCTCTAACTCCACTTGCACAATGAACATCCACAAGTGCGATACGTAGATACCATGGGACCACGAAAAAAACGAGCACTCGAAAGCACCAACTTTCTTGACGGATCTGGTTTGTGGCTCCGCCGCCAACCAAGTTCGGCCACGGAAGGTAGGGAGAGCGCCGCTTCATAATACCAAAACTAAAGTCCTAAAAGCAATTACAGCTACCTAACCACTTACCATCTGGTACTATTATCAGTCACACACTAATAATAGTACCTGATTGTAAGTGGTGAGCACATAGATAAGCACATAGGTAAGTATTATCAGTCAAATAAAACTTTCAGGTCGTCAGTCTCCTGATCAGAAAACACTTCTGTAATTACAGAAGCGTTTTCTGACCAAAAAGACTGCAATACCATAGACGATATAAATGGCAAAATGGTCGAATGTCTAGTATGCGTATGCGGTAGCTCAGTTCTGGAAGACACGTAAACTGTCCATGTATCGTCAGCCATGTATTCGTCTTTTATGTCGAAATTGTTTAGCACTCGAAGCTGTATAGTGGACCGAAATAACTACGTCTAAAAAATTCAACGCACAGATATCCGCATGCGTCGGCGAATCGCTGCGTAATATTACAGTAGCGAAACTCCGGTGAATCTAGCGTAGAATACAGAAAAGTATGGTGTCGGTGTGCTAACGGCAAACTTAAAGGCGTAACTGATGCACTATTATGTTACGCTCGGCGCTCTCGCATTCAGCATCAAAAAGACATCTCGTCCGCACTACAGTCAGAGTGAATGTCTTATTTCTGTCCTCCTTACGTATGTGTCAGTTTGTGTTCATAGTGTACGAAGTCCAGTTTTCGATAATATATTGTTCAAGCGTAGACTATAATCTTTCTTTTCAAAAAACACATCAATGCTAATGAAATTTAAATGCATCAATCGGATGTTTAACAACAAACAGAAATATCTATCAATGACAACATAAAGAAAAGAAACGATTAATTTTATAACATACAATTGGAAATTAATTTAACCTAAACGTTTATTTTTAAACAAAAATTATTTACAGGGCGATTCTGGTGGTCCATTGATACAAGGAAATACCATTGTTGGATTAGTTTCTTGGGGCATCCCATGTGCAGTTGGATTCCCTGATGTCCATACTAGAATATATCCGTATGTTCATTGGATTCGGGCAAAAATTCAAAAAAAGAGAAGAGAAACCTTCAGTGCTATACAAGTAAAAACAAAAATTGAGTTATCTGAAAGAAGTAATTAGTAAACCAGTTTCTCTTAACGCAAGAAAGAAATGAAAATACCAGCTATTATTTCATCAATTTATTTCTTATCATTGCTATTTTAGACATATCCACCTGTAAATGTAGAAGAATAATTATATTATTTTATAATATATGTTGTAATGCTACATTAAAATTCTGTACAAATGGTTATAAGATGTGCATGTGCATGCTATATTTTTTATGTGTTCCACGTTATCACAATAAATATTTTTTCAAATAGAGCTACAAAGCCTTTTGGTTCCCCACACGATAGTCAAAAAACATTTTTACTTTCCTTTTAAATTGCACAACTGTCACTGAAGTCCAAAATTTGCATCATTAAGCTCAAGTCTGTAATTTATGCAAACGCCTTTTATAACTAAGTACGTCAAGTTTAAATCATTTATAGGTACGTAACACATGGGGGAAAATCCTCTGTGACAAACAGAAATCGAGATAATTAGATAAGTGCGAGGAATAAAAAGAGTAAAGAAAAAATTAAAATTGTCAAAACTCTAAGCCTTTGGTGCCTAACAAAATTGTGTCTTCTTTTAAGCGTGGTAACTTTGACAAATATCCCTGGCAAATATGAGGCAATCGACAGAATGGAGGAAACAGAAACTTTTTTATTCAATGTAGATTATAAACAATACTTATTGAAAGTCAATTTTTTCATTTACCTTTTAAATAATTATAATAACAAATACTGAATACATTTCAAATATTTAGTTTACAGTAGTATAAACCTATTGCAATTCTGCATAGATGAAAAAATCGTAAAGAATTTTGTACAATAACAAACCTTTAATCATTGGAACGACCAACTTTTATAAATTCTGCGGAGTCCTATAACACCAAAAGCATGGTATTGGACAGCAAATGTTTGGTTTTCGGAAACAGTGGTGCCACCAAATTCTCACAAAAGAACTTCCTTAGCCACGGCACCGTGGCTAAAAGACCTCTTTCGTGAGAAAGATTTCTTAACCGCAGTTTATACCCGAGACTATTAAAAAGATAAGTTATGTATTAGGTTCGAATGAATACCAAACCCAGTTACGTTTCGATCCATTAATGAATTTCTTCATGAATTCAAAATATTGTAACTTAAATTTGAAATGAACACGAATTCCTCGATGAAGTATAAATCACAAACGACCATTTTGACGTATTTACATTTAATTATCGGCCGTCGCTCATATGGTTCTCACAATGTAACTCCGCTTCCACTGCCATTAAAACGGCTTCATACAAAATATACTACCCGTGCGGTTAAAGAATGGGATTAAACATGGCGTCGCCTCTATTCGACTCTTGCTCGTACACTGTCCCTGCATAATATACTCACATCCGGTAAAGGTAGACTGTAAAAAAAATATGTTGCGATATGCGTTTTTCGTTCGTTCTATAACTTTAGTCCAATTTCGAATAAATGATAAAAAATACATAACATAAACTACAAAACAATTCAGTCCGGTCTCTCTAATTCGTGAGCTACGACGCGTCTTGATAGTTTTCTTCATAATTATTGTTGATTTTGTTTGTTAATATTTTTGTATAAAATATTTACAAGCTATTGAGATATGAGTAACCATTTTTAAAATTTTCGATTTAAAACTTCATCAATAAATATAAAGAAATACCAGAACACATCCCGGACACTTCATACAACGCTCGCAAATTAATTACCTATTACTACTACATAGGCAATTGAAAATTGTACACGTGTTTGTGTGCGTGAAATTTAGTAGGGAAGTGCGGCGGCCGACGTTAAAGCGGCGGGGCGGCTTCAACGTCGGCTGAAATGACCGTTTCGTAAGTAGTTACATATTTATGGTAGAACCACAGAATAAATAACAGTATTACGTACAGAAGTGGCACTCCTTTGATGTTGACTGCTTGCAGACGTTTAATAGCCTACATAATAATTACTAATTAGATAAATAGGGCACGCAAGCTAAATAAAACTTTATCACTGCGCGCGAGTGTCCGTAATACTTTGCATCTTTTCCCCTTCCTATGTCACGGCGGAATTTCTGTGGTTTCTAAGGGCTGTCAATAAAGAGTAAAAAATACATTACGAAATGTTAATTAAGTTTTAGGTGAAATACATATTCTGATCATGATCGACTGACCATATTTTCGCACCTAGGTGAGTGCTGCGATGCCCAACGCATGCAACTTGCAAGGCCATTCGTCGAGAATCGCGATGCTTGATTCGGAAGACATAGGTATATAGTGTAAACAACAAATAAACGTGAAATACGATTCCTAACAGTAATGTGATCGTATTCTACTTAGTTAAAGATCTTGTTAGTAAACAGTTTTAATTTCAGTATTTTGTGTTATTATAACTTAAAATATTTTAATTACAAAAGAGAAGTTTAGGTTTGTTGTAAGTAGATACTTGGATAATGATATAAAATTCAATAAGTTTTGTTATAAAATACTTGGGTATTAACTTCTGTAGATAAATTATTATTTAATTCTCTTTTGCTAGGTACAAGTTCCGTTCTTACAGAAAAAAAGGGAATTAAATTCACTTTTCATAACATCCTACTAAAATCTTTCGTTAACTTAAAGAATTATTATATCTGAAATCTTTTGTTGGTCAAATAGGTATAGATAAACTTAAAATAGTGAATGCGTTTGAAGTTCTAAATAAAATAAAATTACATGAACTTTTGTTTTGTTTTTGTAAGCATCTTGATATCTACCCTTATAAAGTACTTATATGTCGAAATCTAATGAACTTAACATATACACACAATTATAAATATACAATATGTAACGTAATTAACGCACACCCTCAGACACCCCAATTGGTATATTATGTTATAATCATAATACATACACTAAAGTTTAGTTAAACATTTTTATGCACTGATTATTTATCAAATTAGTTATACTAATTCCGGAAGAATGTTGTGGTCACAGTACAAATCCACGAACGCAAAGAGTTTAACGTGCTTGAAATAAAGTTCATTTTTCTTTATTTTTATTGAATGACAGAATTAGTAATAATACAAATAAAACTGAACTCTTAAAAGTCTTATTGCCTTAAGTTACGGTCCATTTCAGTTTGTTTTGACTGTACAGATTTAGTGTGACTGTAATTTACGTAGTTTTAATTATTTTTGGGATAAAAATTACCTATATTAAAAATGATAGGAATCGATTCAGTAAACGATTCTGAACAAACTACTTTCTCAAAGTGCGTTAATTATGTTACATGTTGTATATGCACATAATATATATTGTGCATATTATTCACCTAATTTTATCATATTACATATTTACTACATTCGTCCTTGCTGTGACGTTATTGCTGCGTACCTCTATAAGAGAGAAACGCTACCCATGTACCTGCATTAGCGAGAAACTCGGGTTAGTGAGAAACCTCTATAAGCGAGAATGAGATTGTGCTCCCTTGAACTATCGCTTATCCAGGTTTGACTGTATATATATAAATAAATTACACTAAAACTTTTTTAAATATTTCATCCCACAATTAAATATACTAAACACTAAACAAAAACTATTTCAACAAGTATCTACAAAAGAATATTTACGTAAACGGCGTTAAAAAAACTTTAACACTCAATCGCCTACAATGCGCTAGCCCCAACTGCGTGTGAAGCCCGGGGCGCCTCGCGATTGTAGGTAATTATTTCACGCAGGTAGCAAGAGTGACAGAGGCCTGGTAGAACGATGCAGTACTAAACTTAATGATATCGTAGATGAGTGATAATAATAAAACTATGAATAATATATAATAGGAATATTATTCATAGTGTTATTATTATTATATGGTTATATAATATATTCTATTATACATATCATATAATAGGAACTGAAAGAAACTCCTTTCTTTATCATTCCTTGACGTAGAAAAGCATCCAAATAATACAGCACAATATACAACCATCATAATGAAAACACAATTATAGGCCTATCTTTTAAATTGCAAAATCTTGTGTTCGCGTCAGGTTCGTCTTATCGCGCGTGCCCTCGCTTAAGTGTCAGTGTTGCCTACAACGAAGTGCGGGGTGGGGTGCGGTATTTAAAATGAGTGCGGGGAGGTGAGTGGCCGTTCTGTACGTAGTACTATTATGTATTCTGTGACCAGGAGAAAAATTGATTAAATTTTATACGAAAAATTTTGACTTTATAAAATAGAAAAATATTAAGATGTTTTTTTTTAAATTATTATAAATTATATATCTTAAATCTAAATAATGCTACATTAATAGATCCCACCCAGGCGAAGTCAGAGCGGGTCGCTAGTTATAAATGTTACTTTAAAATTAATGTACCTCACTTGTGTGTACAATTCTTTTTAAATATTTTCCCCTACCTTATAACGATACACTGTTATTAGCGGGTTTTGACTATTGGTATGATGGTATGGTGGATAATTTTGACGGTAGGGCCTTGATGAGTCGCCATTTCTAATCCCATTCTTTATACGAACGGAGTGTATGCGTATTGTCTCACTGTACTGCTGACGCCACTGCTTCTGCTTCATTGCTTTCTTGAGAACGCGGACTAAGACTATCCACAAAGTTGGTCGGTTTACAAATTGCGTTATAAATCTATTATATATAAAGAAAACAGTTTTCAGCAAATTAAGTGTAAAAAGAAAAAAGTACCTCATATTCATTGTGAAAAGGTTTTATATCCAAAAGCACTGCCATTACAGGCCTTCCGTGAGCACATTGAAATGGTATTTTACAGCTAGATAAGGAATGTATAAGCGTCGCACATTCCCTTTTGGACAATTTATCACCAAATTTTATTGCGTATCTGCATGCCTTAAAATATACACACACACACACACACACATATATATATAAACGAAAAGTGTTTCATATTCTACATATGTCCGTTAGGCGTACATCACGCGCATGCAGGCGTGACTCAATTCCATCAATCGTGATTGATAAAAAACCGATGGTGACTGACAGGCGTACATTACGCGCTCATACAGGCGTCTATCACTGCAATACACGGTAGGTTATTCGTCAATGACAACCGTGATTGTTGTAAAACTGACAGCAGGCATGAGCGTGTAATGTACGCCTTAGACCACTAAAACAATACACTAGGCTATAAAAAAATAATAAATAAACAAAATTTCTCTTTTTCCAAGAAATAAACAAAAAGTATTTCTTTTTTAGTTTTGGCGTAGTTGCACACGCTAGCTAGTTAAGAATAAAGTTAGATTCAAAGTCAGATTACCCTTTGAAGTAAGAAAATTTTCTATAATCTAATGAATTTATTAAACTTGTACAAGAACCATTTGAGCAAGGTTTTTAGTTTAGATTTTCTTTATATTGAAAATACTACTGTAAATACGCATATGGCAGAGGCTTACTAATGTATCTTATCTCAAAGTAAATTATTTATAACGTATCTCGAATTTATTATTTAGATATCAGCTTTTCTAATAATCTGCCAAATGGCGTACTTATTCAAAGAATTGCTCATATTAACGATTCTGAGCTTAGCTGTTCAAGATCTCATCAGTTTGTGGGAATTGGGTTATGGATATTTTTGTTAAAAGTCCTATAAGCCTATACACGTCCCACAGCTAGGCACAGGCCTCTCATTTCTGAGAGGGATTAGGGATTTTTGACTCCAGTCGTATTTAGTTTCATTTGCCAATCTAAAGGGATGTTTAAAGTGCGAGAGAATTTAGCACTTGAAAGAACGGTTAGTGTATTCCCCTATCAATTAGGTACTATCGCTACGTAGTACTATTATTTATTCTGTGCTATCGCCTACTCTAATATTAAACACTTAATAAATATAATAAATTAGTGCAGTGACACTACATTTTGCAATTTGTTAAAATCGCTTATTGTGAAAATTGACCAGAAAGATTTATTTTTCAAAATGCTTAAGCAGACAGGGGTACAGCTTTTAAAGAACTTAAAATCAGTAAGGTCAGTAAATCTCTCAGTCGGTTCGGTGTCAGAAGCAGGAGGATGAACTGCTTTGCAAATTGTAAATCATATTACTTTTGGTTGAAACTTAAACGAAAACACTGAATTACATGGCTTTTTTCCTGGAACAACCAATACATAATAGTGATGATAATTGGAAGAATGATGTAACCACATGATGTAAGGACATGAGTACATATACATACATAAACACTCACGCCTGTCATCCAGAGGGGTAGGCAGAGACTACAGACTTCCATTTAGCACGATCCTGACATACCTCTCTCGCCTCTTCCACATCCATATACCTACGCATACATGGTCGTCGGTTAAGGGTACTCTTAATTTGGCCCATTTTTAGTATATCGCCAATTTAGTCGACAAACTTCCGCCTAGGATGTCCCTTTCCAACTCTTCCATTCATTTCTGCAACATATATTTGCTTTGTCAGTCTTTCCGCATTCGTTCTTTCTACATGACCAAACCACCGAAGCATTCCTTAATCCTGGTCACTGCATCATCTTGCAAATCACACTCTTCAAGGACATGAGTGACCCAAAAAAAGGAAGAGTAGTGTAAATATAGGTGGAGATGTGGATACTACAAGCCATGTACGAATTTACTGTAATTGTACAACTACAATTTAAATGTGATAAGAATTCGCGTGAGTGAGTAATGTTACTAAATATGTTGTTAATTATTTCCGAACGTTTTAGGAATGACGTTTGGCGCTGTTAGATTTTGCTGCCATTGTACCTTTACGAGAATAAAGAAAAGCTTTACGTGTTAAGTTGTTTAACCCTTCAACCCCCTAAAATCCCATGCAGTCGCATGCGTCCGCCAAATCCCGAGCGGTTGCATGCGACCGCACCCACCCACAGCACTTTAACCCATTAAAACTTATATTAAGAGACTACTTTATATGAAGAATTTTGGCATTATAAAACCTATACAAAATTCTTTATCCTGTGGTCTACACAAAAGTCAGGTTTTACTTCATTGTATTTTGATAACAAAAAACGGATACATACCAAGCGAATGTCGGTAGCGTGAAAATCACTATTATTTCTACATATTCGAAATTATTTACGTAAAAAGATAAATTATATTCACACAAAAACTTTCATACCAACTTTATAATAAAACACTATACTAATACAATTATAAAACACTAGAAAAATCCAAAAATTAACACAAAAAAACACAAAAACATCATCACGAAGATGGCGTACGTAATGAACGTAGATTATAAATGAATAACCATAGAGTAACTGACTTTTTATTGCACTGGAGGACAGAAATTTTCATATTGACCCTATAATGCCAAATTTCTTCATAGAAAAGTAGTCTCTAACCATAAATATTTACGGGTTAAAGTGCTGTGGGTGGGTGCGCCCGAATTCGGTCACTTGGTATTTGACGGAATATCGCCGAGACCGGATTCGGCCGCTTGGTTATTAATCACTTGCGGTTATAAGGTATTCAATATATTATATGTAAATAATTATGAACTATATTTTTAAACTTATTCAATTCATCATTGACTTATTTAAGTCCATAACTAATATTTTAGTAAGAAGTTCTTTTCACTGAAAAAACATTTGTTATAGCGTATTTCAGTGCGTCATCACAATACAATAATTGTGAATAATACACACAGGTGTATCAAACTATGAATCATTAAAATTCTATAAAATGTTACATTTATTGTTAAATTACCATATCACATACAATAATGCGGTTTGAGGGAGTAATATGCAGACTGTTTCTCCAGATAACAATTTGAACTGTATGTGGTGTACCATGCCGCCTGCCGAGACTCTAGCGCATATTTGAAAATAACTATGGCCAACAATGATTTAAGGAAACCGTTGTTTTTGTTTGCGAAATTCAAAAATTTTTACGCTTTTTTTTTAAAGCTGTTTATGGGTACTTTATTTTTAAAACTATATGCCTTTGACAGTATTTAAATTTTTACCTCACTAAAAATAAGTTCCATAATCGATTTAGGATATAGTAATGTGTTGCCACTTAGCAATTTTATCGCTTTAATTTGTTCTAAAATTAAATTTCTGACAGAATCCAATATAATTTCTGGCTGGAAAAGGCAAATATAATTTTTAATGTGTTTCTAAGGAATTATTTGGAAATTAAACAAATTTTTGTAAAATATTACCTGTCTTAAATGCCTTCCAAACAAAGCTTTAGGTATTGCATTGACTATAATTTCACAATCACTTTGAACTTTCCAGTCTAGTCCGAGTTGTATGAATTTATCTTTATAGTTATTTAAATAAATTATGTTATCCTTTGCTAATTTTAAAAAAAGATCTTCACACTTGGTACTAATCCATTTATCACCAATTATATAATCTGGTTAAAATTTTGTTACATAAGTCACTGTTCAAAACATCTTAACAAAATCATGTAATAAAAATTACCTGACAAATTTTTCTCTAGTCGTATTCTTTCATGAACAGCATGTTGATCAAACAATACTAAATATTTTAATGTGTTACTAGTGTCACTTTGTATTTCGGCTGCTATGAACTTATTGTCCACTTGACCAAACACCTTAAATGATAATAATTTATTAAAAACCATAAATGCATGCCCGAAGGCCGTGTTTGAAATTGAATCTAGAGTACCTATCAGTATAGACACACCCGGGAACCGGGATTCTACATCAGAAGCACGGTAATATTATCTATACAGTATTCCAACTTCATACAAACGGACGAAGCGAGAGCTATACCTACGCGCCTCGATCTCGGCATGCGCTCGGCATGCAGACAGTCGTGACTGTGCCGCAGTGATGATTTTGTGGAATATATATAAAAAATGTAGGAAATAAATAATAGAATAGAAATAAAGAAATAATAAATGCGAACTTCATTTAAAACCAAACATATAAATTATAAAATATCTTTTACTTGGTTATAGATACCTCTTTATCTCTTTTATAATTTTTAATTAAGCTTTATATTATAATGCGGATTTTTTATACTTAAAAATTTAATAATAAAGGAATTCGTACGTCTCAGCTGAGGCGCAAATATTTTTCGGTCGCAAATTCATAAGACCGATTTATTATTCAAACATAAACATGGTTTTTTAATTAAATCTACCAATCAAAAACGATACGCATTTTTATTGAACATATCCTATTGAATTTTCAAAGTACCTATTATATTTGATTATATAAAAAAAGTATATTTACAATCATAAAACTAAATGGAAACACAAAGTAGGCAAATGTAATGCTGAAGGCAGACAGCCCTATTGCATGTTTACGTACCGCGCTGCTGTAGGCATTTATTTCAAACATACGGCCGAGTTACAATACTGTATAGATAATATTACCGTGTCAGAAGCTTGCTTATAATAATGGGTTCGGTGATCAGTTTTAACCGACTTCAAAAAGAGGTTCTCAATTCGAGTGTATATTATTTTTTTTGTATATGTATGTTACGCGATATCTTTGCAGATTGTGAACAGGTTTTAACATTTTTTATTAAATAAGCTTTAACGCAAAGGTTAAATTAATTAAATTAAAAATTCCGCCCTAAAGGGTGAAAAATAGAGGGGAAAGTTTCATATGGACTATTGTTTAAGGTATTTCATATGATATCTTCGCAGATAAAGAACCGATTTTAATGATTCTTTTGTTTAAAAATACGTGAGGTGGTCCCATATAAATTTGTAGAAAAATTATAGACCTAAGGATTGTAAATAAATAACTTCTTTTTTAGCAATTTGAAGTAGGTTTTTACTTTTTCTTAAAAGTTAAAATGATATTAAAGTTACTTGTCGGAGGCCCTGCTAAAAATGATCGCGATAAGCTCTACTGTAGAGTAGTACTGTAGGAAGCTCTACTGGGACCGACAGTACGATTGTGTAACTTAGTGGAAATCATAAATTACTCTCGTTTTCACGTCGTATTGTGTTCAAGGCTTATAAAATATATCAATTATAGATTATAAGCCTTATAAAATTTGTAAATGCCGATAGAGATAAGACTCAATATGCTTCACGGCATGTTCGAAATGGGGGCGATCTGCCGATCTATTCTGGCGGCGGATCTTCGTGAAAAACCGCTCTGGGGTCAAATATTTATAATAGTCGATGATTGATCTGCCGAATTATTACGTCTAGTTGAGTTTAATTAATTTATTACATTATACATATTACATTTCATAAAATATATTTTATTTTTATTGATTTTTTATGTTTAATTATATATAACACATTCATCAGGACTAAGTAGTAAGTAACTTATAAATATTAGCAATAAATTTTAATTACAAAAAAATACAATAAAATAACAACAATACTAACCTTAGCATTTTTCAGTGAAAGTGTGTTAAATGTAAGATATGGATTATCTTTTTTTAATCTGTTATTTGTTCGTGCAGCATCTTTTGTATCACTATCGCGTGTATCTTGTACTCTATTTTCAAATGTTTTATAATTGACTAATACATCTTCTGCAAAATTATGATATAATTCCTAAAACCACACAATTTATCAACAATTGAATAATTGATTATGGATCAATTATTACATCACATAGCTTACATCTTCAAAATAATCCATTTGTAAATCATATGAACAAACATTTCTTGAAAGACAGTTCTCAAATATGGGCGACATTCCTAAAATTTAAATGAAATTTATTTTATTTTCAATTCCACTATGAATCTAGTTCTTAGATAAAATATTATTTTAATATAACTTTACCTTTAGGTACAAATCTGTGCCTATTTTGTAATTTAAAATTATTATATCCATTGTCATCTATGTTATCAACAGTGGTAATACAGTTTTTTGTATTATCAATGGAAAGATCTTGATTTTTATCTTGATTACTCAAATTATTAACTTCTTGACCTTCACAATTACGTTGCTCATTATTGATCGAACAATTATTAATCAAATTACAGTATGAATTCTTGTCTTTATTGAAATTTGCGAAATGGTGTGATATTTGTCCCATTTCATTATTCATATAAAGTAAATCATTAACATTATAAGGAGTTGATGACTTATTATGAAAATTTAAATGAGCTTCTGTATCATACAGTATCTCATCTTTGTGCATATCAATATTATTGTTCATATCAGACCTGTTTACATCTGGATTTTGATACACAGTTGTGCAAAAAGATAAAGGATCAATGCTTCTATTTGATGTTTTCTGTGATTCTAAGTTTTCAGAATTTGAGATGAAAATCACTTTTAAATTATTTCCATGATTATCACTGGATTGATGTATAGAACTTAAAACAATATCCTTATGACAAGTAGAAATAGGTGAATCTTGATATTCACTCCTATTTTTAGTAACATTTTTAACGTAATTATCAATATCTAGTGAAACATTTGAATCTATTATAGTATAAGTACTATGTATATTACCAGTGACTTTATAGTTACGTCCCTCAATGCATGCATTATTTTTAAACACAGTATTAAAGTTCTCATTTTGAATTTTTTTAATGTTATCATTTGTTTCTGAAAACTCTATTATATGAGATGATTGATGTGTATAATAAATATCCCTTCTGAGTGAGTTTGCATGATTTTTTAATATATTTGGTTTTGTATTTGCCAATTTAGATTGCAAATGGAAATGAGATTTAGGTTTCTTTGACATTTTATTCTTGCATTTCGCAGTTACCTTCATCATAGATTGCGTTATCTTATTGGGAAGATCACAATTGTCTTTCGAACGTTCACTAATATACTGTTGTATATGTTTATTATTTTTTAATACATCAATATTGTCTTTATAATATGTATGGCTTTCAAATGTTAGTTTTGGCATTGTAACCTTATCAGTGGTGAAAAATCTTGACTCTGTATTATAACTATATTTATATGTAGTGTTAGATTTGTAATTATTAAAACACAAGTCTTCGCTTTTATTATTTTCCTTATTAATGCGATAGTTGTATTGGTTTTGACTGCCTAAAATTGTTTTAACTAAATCATATGATCGTAAATACTGTTTATTTGCTTTATTTAAGGGTATTACACCATCATTGTTATTAAAATGTTGTGAATGAGGTATGTACTCATTGGAGACGATATTATGTTTCCTTTCAAGTTGTAAGTCTTTATTGTTCCATTTTCTATTAGTACAGTGTACCAATTCGTGACCAACTTTTTTCATAAGAGCTTCTTTTATATTTTCGGAATAAAGGTTACATCTATGTTTCACAGAAGCAGTTTCTTCATAAAATTTCTTAATCAATGGGTCAACATAATGTCTGTATTTATTTCTGTTTTTAACCTTGGAAGTTTTTTGTATCTTTTTTTTAACCCCTTGTGGTTTTTTATTGCACGGATAATGTTCAGAGCTTTCTGCTTTATCTATTCGCGAATATTCACTTGTGTGGGTATTTTCCTTTAGTTGAAGTGTCTTGGAGTTACTTTGCAAGTTCAATTCCGATTTATTATATTTAATTTCCTTTGTATGTGAGTTTTTGGTTTGCTTATTGTCACTTTTTACTTCGAAATTATTTTTTTTTCTTATGGGTTTACCTTTAAACATTATAATTAAAAATATCATAGTGTACATGAACACATGCCTTGTCTCTGAAGTGCATTAAAAGAATGTAAAAAATTAAACTTACCTTTAACACCTTTGTGCATTTGGGAAATTATTAATTTTTTAGATTTATTACCCAATATCTTTTCCATTATATTTTTAACTTCTTCCCGAGTATTCTGTTTTCTTCTCTGTATCTCGGTATTCTCTAGTTTCTTTATTTTGTTGGGTTTGTTCAGTGCGGTTTTTCTTAAATTAATATCACCATTATAGAAATTAGCCAATTTTTCCATCAACTTTTTTATTTGGTTCCAATCTTTAAATTCTAAGATTGTATTTTTTGACGTAAAGCTGATATCATAGTCAAAATGTGGACATGAGATGAAGATAAAGTAAAAGGGTATATTTTCTTTTGCATTGCTGCGAACTTCCTTTCCAGTTTGAATAGAGAAATTCTGTAATAAAATAAATTATTTTGTTGTGGCATGTGTCAGTCGATTTTCACTTTTGCATCTAAGCATTATATACAGTAAAAGTTTTGAAATTATTAAAAATGTAAAACGTACGAAGAGCGCTACGTAAGTTTATGTTTTATACTAGCAGTTTTGTGATTTGTCGTCTTGATGTCTATATAAAGAAAAAAAGTTTTAATTGTTATATAGTTCTTAGTGTTTTTGCATTTTAGAGAGATACTGCCATAAATTGGATAATAATGCCATACACGTTAGTTCATTCTACAATTACGTGTTTATTTTGAAATAATAGATCAGCATACCAAGGCGTAAGTGATGGATTTGAGTCATGTAGTGCTTAATATTGAAAAGCAAACACTGGCTTAGAAAACAGTGTTTTTACACGCGAAAAAAAAAATGGTAAAATCAATCGATCTATGATTGAGGTAAACAGAAAATTTAACTAGTTTACGAACTAATTTACCACTAACAATAAAATATCCCGTTGCACCTACGTTAAAAACAACCCATACCTACTTTAATTAGCAAAGCCAATACCTAAGGTCAAATTGTAAAAAAATTACAAACTATAATAGGGTACTATTACACTCATTTTCAAATTGTGTTTTAAATGAATACTAGAGGTAATGAATCACTATTTTTTTAAACCGAATAGTGCCATAAAAACTACTTTTAATTTATCATATTAAATTTTCGCACGAAAACGCTAGCGCCATACTGTTAAGCTCGTGACGTCATTGTTCTAGTAAATAAAACAATTTTGCAAAGGAATAGATATTTTTAGATGTTTAATAATGAGTTATCGTCTTTATCATTGGTGTGTTGTTCCTGAATGCAAACATACGAGCATAAGAACGCCGGGGATACTTCCCCGGCGTTCTTATTTGTAGCGATTCAAGTGCCAAATGGTTTAAATATGAGAAATACTTGGATGAAAATGGCAAGAGACACGAAGATATTGTCTACAAAAACTAGACGACACTTTTGTGAAAATTACTTTGACGTAAGTTAGATATATAAAACTATCGTTTATACAAAACAAAAACATCATGATGTGATAGGTATTGCAAGGTTAAATTTTGTAATAGATTAGGTTATCTCTTATTATATTAAATTCGCAAAAACTCTATTATGTATTTCGAAAATGGCTTGACCAATTTTGATGAATATTTTTGTGTGTATTTGAGTGGATCCTTAGATGATTTTGAAACCCAACTGGACACGGTAGGCACGGTTGTTGAGATCCAGAAATCACCCGTGCAAAGCCGGGGCGGGGCGGATCACTAGTCTTAGATATAACTAATGATTGCTAATGATTGTAATCATAGATAAACATAACTATGTATAATCAAAGAACACTCTGACCTGGTATTGTGTTATTGTATAAACCAAAGTTGGTAATGGGTTATCTAACTATACTTTAGGTTACTTACATTGATGTTTTAACATTTCGCAACTCGGCAGAACAAAAATCGGGATTGTATGCAAAAAATCAACCACTATCAATGTATTTATTCTTAATAGATTAGTACTTTCTGCTTTTACGTATCCGCCTTCTATTGCCATTTCAATAAAATACGGAATGAAAAGTCAACAATAGTGATGAAAAGTTGAAAAATTTCGAAATAACACAGCACATTACCTTGTTCACTATAAAAGTGACGTCACGACAGATTGTAATATGGTGGATAGCGTTTTGGAGATTTGAAGATTAAAAATAATTTAAAAATTGAATTATAAATTTATAATGCTTTTTAGAATAGAAATCAACATTACTCGTTCACTTTTACAAAACCTATCATAAGTACGTACTTTTTGATTATTTTTTCTTACATGGTGGAAAATACCCCATTGTAAAGACAATAGCTTGAATATTTTTGTCAAGCTAAAATTAGATTCGATTATGCAAAAAGAGCCAAGCCAAGCAATTATCCATGATTAAAATCGTACCTGTTACATCACTAGCTGTAACCAGCAAATGGATAATTATTCGTCGAAGAGTTTTTTAATATTTTTCACGTTTTTAATATGCATGCTGTCTGACCTACATGTAAGAACGGAATACTCAATAAATAGCAGTAACTAGTGCACACTCTTGTACATTATAACAACGAGCTATATAACGCACACGTTTTCTTAGCCCTGAGCTGTGAATCACAATCCAAAGATAAAAACCTAGGATGTAATCTAAAATAAACAGGGAAAAATCAAAAAGTAGTGAAATAAAATTTCATGCAGTTATTATGGTATTCTAAACAAGAAAATCCCCAAGTAACAATATGTCATGGTTATTTTATAAAAATGACACCAATTTAGGATTGCCTTAGATTTTACAGTACGCGAGCAACCTGGGTTCGATCTGGAGATCTGGTATTAATGAAATTGTTAATAGCAATTATTGTGTAGTAGTGCTCAGTGGTGGCCCGCATGGAAACTGCATGTCTGTCATGTCATATTACGAAGACACAAAGTCAGGTAACATAACCATAGAATACTATAATACACAATATGATGGCTGTCAAACTTATTTTGTACGAGATTCGGCGTCGCCGGGAGCACACATACAAGCAATTACGTCGTATTATCACTACTACAAAACCGATTCGCTGTTTTGACTGAGTAAATTTTTACACATTTTACTTTTGAATAATGTTCAAAATCATCATTAAAAATCGTTTAAATTTTAATACATATTTATATGTAAATAGTGTGCAATTTCGTATTTTCTAAATAATTTACATGCGAAATATGGAAACGATTTTTATGTCTAAACACATCTCGTGTTAACATTTATATATGTAAATTGACATGTTAGTGACATTTTAGTGGCTACCCGGGCTCCGCCCACTCCGCCGTTCTATTATGTATGTATTATACTATTCTATGAACATAACGGACTAACCTCAGAAATGAGAAGAGGCATTTGCCCATCTGTGGGAAGTATATGAGCTGTAGTATTATTTTACTAGATTAGTTTTAAACATGACAAAATCGAGTAGCGATCTTATCATTTCTAAAGAATGTGATCATGTCCTTGCGACAAATTCATTTTACCGGCAATGAGTATTAATCCAGTAAATATCTAAGCACGCCATATAGATAAGATACAATTTCAGTGGGTTTCGGTTATAACGACGACTAAAGAATCTATTACAAAGCTTATCTGACACTGACAGTTGTAATATGCAAATATTAGGGTTTATGGATATATTATAAATATATATTAATGTATCTAGCTTGTGCTAGTATTGTCAATGTAATAAGAAGTTTTATTAAGAATCGTAAGTTCAATGTTCAAGTAGCATAGTCAGACTCTAACACTACACAATACACGGTATGTGCGACGTTAAAAATACGAATGACACAAGCACAACATGAAAATACTGGCGTTTAGCGCTTGAAAGCTAGGATAAGCGGCGCCTGTCCTCTGGCAAGTTAACCTCATGGGGTGAAATATATTTGTGAAATGCACTAACACTTGTATCAAAAACTGGCGCGGAAAATTAACGAAAAGTTCTCCAATCTGTTGTATTTCTTTGTTTCCAAACTTAAAATATAACTTTTTAAAGTTTTGAATTCTTTACAAATTTTTTTAACAAAGAAATACTTGTTTCCAAACATAAAAATGTAACTTTTAAAAGTTTTGAATTTAATTTTTTTTTGTGAAATAATTGTCATCACATATTTTTGAAACACTAAAATCACAAGTTAATATCATTATTCTGACCTAGACAAGACTGGGCAACAAAGCTATTTGTAATACTTAAATAAAATAGGGTATATTACCTTCACCTTTCTGATTTTAGAAAATGTGTCGCTCTTTACAAAGTATGTGTTTATTATATCATGAAGTTCACTTTTAAAAACAAACTTTCCATTTAAATATATCCATTTGTATAAATTTGATTCTAAATCTTTTTTCCCAATAAATGCTATAGCCTTATATTTATTTTTTTCAACTTGTAACTCTTGAATATCATTTTTATTTATTCCAAACAAAGAAGACAGAGTTTGATAAATATCTCTGTTCTTTTGAATTTTAAAAATTATTTCATTCTTTGAATTATCTCGTAAGCTTATTGAAACATTTGTTCTTACTAAAGACACTTGTTGTAATAATAACTTGATATTTTCTAGTTCACTTAGAGCATTTATAGATTTTTCTTGAATATGCAGATTATACAGAAATCCTTTAATTTCTATCTGTAAACCAAAAATATATAATTAACAATTATGAAAAGTTATTTAAATATTATTTTACTTGTTATAAAACATTTCTTTTGTTATTTACTTGAATATAATATGAACAAATAATATGTCAGCATGGCCTTTTCAAAAATACAAAACTGACATTAAATTCCATAACATATTTCCTAATATACTTATCAGGGCACTAGAAAGGCTAATAAGCGACCACACAGTTGATACTCTTGCATTAAACACTACTCCCCATCACCAGTGTGTGAAATTTGGGTTTAACATATTAAGATAGATTTTTCACCATCAGTTGGTCACAAGAAAATCATCTGTCAATCAGCAGAATATCTTGGATTCAGGTGATGCTGGCTGTTGGAGAAAAAACTGATGTATTACATTTACTTACAGTAACAAGGTATTTGTATTACGATTCTTAATTAAGGGTAGATGTAGACGTCTATGGGCCTCAACATCTACAATACATCTGCTAAGCTGTGTGCTTGTTTACAACCCTTCTAATTAACACATTTGCTACTAGGGTTTCATGGAGAAAAGCCCACCACAGTCCACATTTTTTTGTGATTTTATGATAACAATGAGGGTTAATAACCTTCCACTCACCAGATAGTGACATCTGTTGGGATTGAGGTAAAGTATTTGTTACACAAAATCATTATTAGTGATGCAACAGAACTCTGTTTCCGTTTTCGCAACTGCGGAAGTTCTGCATGGTTTTTGACATCTATTTCGGCTTCCGTTTCCGCAAGTTTTATAACGGAAGTTTGAACGGAACTCAGCGAAACAGTCACATAAGTAGAAAAAATTCCGTTTATCTACTCATGTAACGCAGCAGACGAGGTACGTGCGCTTCGTTTGATTGTTGAGTACATGTAAGAATGAGGAGGTAAGAAAGGGCATTTCAGCGAGCTGATTACGTTCTTTCAGCACCTGTCCCAACAGGTATGTTTACATACTTTTTTAACTTTATTATATGGAGTGACTTGAATGTAAGCGCATAAGATTTTCTCTTATTGTTTTTTATTTAAGTGCAAACATGAATCCAAAAACAAGTCCCATTTGGAAATATTATGTTGAGATTAATGATTAAACAGCCAGATGTAAATTATGTGACAAAATATACTCGTGAAAAGGCCGTACAACTACCGCTTTAAAGAGCCATCTTAGAGCGATACATGCTGAAGAGTTTGATAAGTTAGTTGCAACTGTAAAACTTTCTACGCAAACTAAAAAACAAATGGCCAGTCAAGAAATTGCATACTTTAGAATTATAAAATGTATTCCTATGTTACAGTTAAAACCCGATTTTAGTTAAAACATGTTTTCTCCAGTTAAAACTAGTTTTTACTAAATGCCATTGTTATAACTTAGATTTGTAAAATTAATTAGGCAGCAGTTATGTTTAGGTGAAGTTTTATATTGTGATATTAATTATTTTTTAAGCGAAGTTTATTTTAATTATTTTTAAAGACACTTTAAAAATACTCATTATTATTTTGGATTCAAAGTTTGTTTATGTCGTACTTTAGTGCTACGACTGTACTAAATTACCAACTAAACCTAAATGTGGCTCTTTAAAGGGTCTACCCACATTTCAGTGCCAATTTAGCTTTAGTGTATACACATCATCGCTAGTGAGCAATTTTTTAGCAGAGCTGGACTTATATATGAACCACCGGAACAGATTAGGTATAAAAGTTGACTAACTACTTTTCATACAATATAACATACCACTACTTAATTTTGAATGTTAATTAAAAGTTTTATATGTAATTTTGTGAAAAGTAGTATTTCTATTTCTACATCCGTTTCTGTTTCTGTTGCATCACTAATCATTATAATTGAGAAGTTCCATTTGAAATAAGTGTTTATCAGTTTTTAGAGTACCTATATAAATAAACAATGTCTTGGTGGTTTGCACTTCAAACTTTGCACATTTTTTAAATTACTCTACTTTTATGAATATCCACAGTGTGGTTTGTCCATTTCTTATGTAATAAATATAAATTCAACAAATATTTCAGCAAGAAACATTAACCCTTACATTTTCCTAATAATTGACTTACCTGGGCTATAGAATTTGTCAAATATTGCACTTCATTCTTAAGTGGCACTGCCCTTGAGACATAAAAAGTTGTGGATGCCTTCATTAGATTAGACTAACAACTCTGTTCAAAACACATCACAAATCAACATATCCTAATAAATTGACTTTTACATATATTTGGCAACAGGTTTTGATTACAAAGCAATGCTTCACAAATATGAGAGACCGCTGATAGAATACTATAGAGTGGGCTATGCGTGGATTTTATGTGTGTGATAGAGTTTCTTGGTAATGATGATATCTGCAGTAGAACAAGAGTAATTGATATTATAGCCCAAAGGTCATTAAGCTGAAGTTTATATGTTGTAGAACCACACTGCAGCTATATTAGTTGTAGTACAAATAGGTTGGCTTGCCCGGTGTAGGACCACACTCTCACAGAACACCAGCATAACATAGTAGCTTAATGCTGCTGTGTTTTGTATGGTGATGGAGAAGAAAGGTACTTGAGTGGCAGTCCTGTACCGCTAAGCAAAGCGTAAGGCTGTCCCAACTGGATGGAGTGATAATCTAGTGAGATGCATTTGTGGCATTCTTTTTTTTGCAGAGGGCCTATTATCAGAAGTGGACTTGTGATGGGCTGTAATAACGGAGATAATATACTTAACACTTAAACAATACAAATTTTATTAATGTTAAAATATAACTTAAGAACATTTCTACCCGTCAGTGAAACCAGATACCTTCTACACTACAACTAAAATTGTTGGCTAATATTTCCAATATGGACCATCGATTTCGAAGCCCATATTTTTTTTGTAGATAGTACTCACTAACAGAAAGCGTTTTGCAAAGTTTTAGGTTGCGGAAACTTACGGTTCATGAGATATATTTTTTTAAACTTTTCATACAAATTGGTAAATAACACGCAATTACAAAATAAATTTGACAAATGATTGATGTCAAACGTCAGTTAGTGTAGGGTTCCGAATATTTTGAAAGTATCGATACCTACTCGATACCAAGTATTGTATCAAAAGTATCAATACTATTTGGTATCGAGTACATTTTGTTAATTTTGGAGACGAAAAATTATGACAAACCATTAGATGCATAGGAAGAGCTGATAAGTGCAATTATATGTGTATATAAAGTTTACTCTATTTAAGTTCCACCTTAGTACTTGTATTTCATTGTTTGCAACTTGTTTGTATTTATTAATTAGTACCGCTTTTGTACTTTTATTTTATTGTTTGCAACTTTCTGTATTATCTAATTCTTACTACAATAAAGTGTTTACTTACTTATTGACTTACTTATTTAATATCCAAAAAGTACCCAAAACCGAATCAGAGCACCCCACTATCCACGTGGTCTTGTCTGCCCTACCCCTAGAGTGTATATAAGAGCCCGGAGGCGCGGAGGGAGAGCAGTGCCCGCCAGCCGTAGGGAAGCGCAGGCACCGAGATCAGATGCCTGTGCTTCCCTACGCTAGGGCGGAGGCAATGCTTATCCCGCAGCGCCGGAGCACAAATTCCCGGGTTCTTACCCCCCTAGTCTCCAAAATTAACGAAATGTACTCGATACCAAGTAGTATTGATACTTTTGATACGATACTTGGTATGGAGTACGTATCGATACTTTCAAAATATTCGAAACCCTACACTAATTGACGTTTGACATCAATCATTTGTCAAATTTATTTTGTAATTGGTGTAATTGCCAATTTGTATGAAAAGTTTAAAAAAATATATCTCATGAACCGTAAGTTTCCGCAACCTAAAACTTTGCAAAACGCTTTCTTTTAGTGAGTACTATCTACAAAAAAAAATATGGGCTTTGAAATCGATGGTCCATATTGGAAATATTAACCAAATTGTTCTCTCCCAGAACTTTAGGGTTCTTACTAAAAAGGATCTAACTCTCAGGCTGCTGCTTTTTTGCTAGTTTAATTCTTAAAAAACCTATGAGATATGAACTGCTAGCATAAACTGCTTTTGTCCCAACTAAGACAGAACCTATTTAGATATTTTTTAGAAACTTAATAAGCTGGTAATAATATTTATATTTCAGGTAACTTACAGTTGTTCCTTTAGAAGGTCTCATTATAGTTGTATAACTATCCTTGTGCTGGCCGTTGCAGAAAATTTTAACCCATGTTTCTTTAGTATTTTCACACCTGGTGGTTATTTTAACACTATGTGACACCTCAATAATATTAGAAAGTGCTTCTCCATGAAATCCATATTTATTTGGAGCACTTTTAAACATAGAGATATCATCCACTTTACTGCTTGTGTACCTCAGTCCGAGCAGAGGAATATCACTTTTATGAATGCCACATCCATTGTCAATTACTTGTATGAAACTTTCATGAATATGAATTCGAATAGCAATAGAAGTCGCGTCAGCATCAATAGCGTTGTAGACCTGAAAATAGAAATTGATAGTATGATGATGATATTAAAATGAGATATGAGTAATATTAATTTAAGATTAAATTTACCAATTCTTCTACAGCATTTTTATAGTTATTTATTTTAGCTGCAGCATTAAATATCGACTGAATTTCAACTGGCAGTTTTTTTATAGTCATTTTTTATTTATTTATTAAGTCCGTGGTTTCAATCTTTCAAAACATACCATACATGTTCGTTGATAGAAGTTTACAAATTTAGGAATATTCGTTTGTTTCAAACTTCAAACGAAAAAAATAACATTCTCTTGTTTCAAACTTTTAAAAACAAAAATACGTTCCATATTTAGGCTCACCTTTAAATTAGTTAGTAGTTACCCAATACACAAAGTTGGCACTTCAACTGCTCAAAAAACCTATTTTTATATTATACATGTACAGAGTTTCAGAGCAATCCATATTCATATTTTCCGTATATATTACTATACTCTTTGATTCATATTTTTCAAGAAAAAGAACGAAATTTTAAATTGTGTTATTATTCTTGCTCCTCATTAGATTTTGAGTTTTGAGGTAATTTTTTTAACTGGCTTTACGGCTCTGGGTTCTAGCCCTTCTGAGCCTATCATTTCTTTCGGGATCTTCATTTTTATAGATTTTTTCTTCACGATATGCTGATGCGCCACATTGTGAAGTTTTTGAAAGATTTTTACGACAGCCCAACCCATAGTTGATGACAATAGTCACTCAAGTTCATAAAACGCCTGAGCGATCAAAATAAAAATTTTTTCGTCGTTTTCACTAATAGCTTACATGCACAGACACTTAATTCACAGAATGGCATATCTTTTATGAATCAAAATCCACTTCAAATCATTATTTAAGCGATGAAACAGGAGCAACAATTTCTCGATGGGCAAGTTCCCGCCAAAAACTCAATTTTGACGTAAAGTCGCACAGACTACTACGAGGATACCACGTAAAACTGCTTAAAACGTAGACCACGGAGGTTAGAGAATAGGAGAACAATCGCTACGTGCTAAAGCATAGCCCGCCTGTCCCTGAAAATTTGTAGAATTTATAGCCACGCTGCCGTCGGTAAGTACCTAGTATCTGCGAAGTAATTTTTTAATTATTGACAAAAAGAAACATTATAAAATGGTGAAATATTATTAAAATAATAATAATAATAATAAATAAATAATAACTAATAATTTATATTTGTAATAATTTATAACATTTATAATAATTAAAATTATAAAAAACATACTTTATAATTTATTTATTAATAAATAATAGTAATAATTTTGTTATTTTCTTTTTCTTTTCTTTGAATGATATTATAATCATTTCAAACTAGCACACAACAGCCCGCTTTTATTGAGACAACTTAGCGATCGCAGCGTCTCACTTATTTTGCCCATGTTTCTGGGACACTATTTTCTACAGCGATCGTTCTCCTGTTCTATAACCTCCATGACGTAGACAGAGGATATACATCAAAAGATTTACATTCCACAGAGTATATGCCACATTCTACATCTACATCATAAACATTTGTTTTTGTCATGTTGTGTGTTGCGATACAATGAGATTTGCCGATTGCCGTTTTGTTGTTAGATTTTTTTTTATAGAAGAGGGGGCAAACGAGCATACGGTTCACCTGATGTTAAGTAACTATCGGATCCCATGGACAACCGCAGCACCAGGGGAATTGCATGTGCGTTGCCGACCCTTTAGAAAGGAGTTAGCTCTTCTCTTGAAGGTCCCTAAGTCGTATCCGTCCGGAAAAATCACCGGTGGTAAATTATTTCACAGAGAGGTCGTACGCGGAAGAAAACTCCTAGTGAAACGTACAGTGATGGACCGCCAAGCATCCAGATGGTGTGAATGGTATCGGGAGGTTTGCCGCGGAGTGTGTTCATGAAATTTAGCGGCTGTGATTAATCCGAACAATTCGTCACAGGACTCCCCGTGATACATGCGGTAAAATATGAAAAAAGATGCAACATCTCTTCGCAGCGCCAGTGAATCGAGCCGATCGGAAAACACTCGGTCGTCGACGATTCGAGCCGCACTGCGCTGAATGCGGTCAAGTGAAAGGAGCTGGTACTGGGTAGCCCCAGCCCGGAGATGGGAATAGTATTTCATGTGCGACCGAATCTGTGCCTTGTAAAGTTGCAGGCGGTGTGCCGGCATGCCATGGCTCTTCTGAGCACGCCAAGCTTTTGCCTTGCCTTGAAACTAAGGAGATACGACAAAGGGGTTCTTTTTGGTGGTTAACGTGCAAACTTGTGTCTTCTGAGGGTTAAACTGGACTAGATTTAATCGCCCCCAATCCGAGACTTTGTTCAGCAAAGACTCGACTTCAGACACAAGTTTGTCCCGGTACTCGGAGACGTTTTCTCGAGAAATATTGACCCGGCCGGTGTACAGAGCATCACCAGTGCTGTCATCTGCATAGCAATTAATGTTTCAGGTTTACAACATGTTATTGATATGCAGAAGAAACAGCGTTGGTGATAGCACGCAGCCTTGTTGAACGCCAGCGTTAATGAGCTTCTAATCGGAGCATGCACCGTCTACTACGACCTTGATGCTCCGATCTGCAAGAAAGCTGGTGATCCAATTGCACAATTTCCCGGGAAGCTCATAAGAAGGGAGCTTCGAAAGAAGCGCTTTGTGCCAAACCCGATCGAAGGCCTTCGCAATGTCCAAACTAACGGCTAATGCCTTCCCCTTGGACTTTACTGCCGCTGCCCATCTATGAATTAGGTAGACCAGAAGATCACCAGCTGATCTGCCACGACGAAAACCTTATTGGCAATCTCTAATCAGCTGGTGATCCTCAAGGTCATGAGGTCATGAGCTGACATTGAAATAATACGGAGTTACTAGTTTTTACGGAATTTATCGCGTATATTTAACTTTTTAAATACCCGACGCTTCGAACGATTTACAGCACTCATGGTCACGGGCGGGACTGAGATGTTCAACGTCCATATGTTATAGTTAACCGCGGTTACCATAGATTAAAATTTAACTTTTGTTCCGATCTATACAGTATGAACTTATGGTATCTTGAAGTCTTGCAGTTGTATGCTTGGGTTGGGATTTAATTTTATTTATTATCGGATCCCAAGCAGATGGTAGCACCCAGCCAGCTTCTCTATTGAAATTAGGATGTTTTTTGATTTCAATAGCCTCGCGAATCATCCTTGGAAGGAATCGGTGTTCTTTAGCGAGGATTTGCGGTCTATCAAATCTGATGTAGTGACGGGGGCGATCCTGTACGTGTTCACAGACGGCAGACTTCCCGGAGCGTCGATTCTTCACATCAGCTATATATTCTTTAACGCGGGTTTTTATTGATCTTTTAGTTTGTCCTATGTAGGAGAGACCACATTCACAATCAAGCTTGTACACTCCTGCATCTTGCAGAGAGACATTACACTTGACTGATGGTAAAAACTGACCAATCTTCTTCAGCGGCTTGAAGTATGTTTTGATGGAAGCGCGCTTCAAGATGTAGCCAATCTTGTCAGTGACTCCTCTAACATATGGCAGTACAGCAGGTACACGCTTGACTGTGGCCGGCTTCACTCGTTCACTGTGACGTAGGCGCGGGACTCGAAGCTTGTTATCATGCAATACTTGCTTGACATGGTGGAGCCCGGCAGCCAGGTGTTTACAGTCACAGATCCCTCGTGCTCTCTGAAACAAAGATTTACCCACGGTACCTAACTGTGAATGATGGTGGTGAGAATCACCGTTTAAATATCTATCTGTATAGGTCTTTTTTCTATACAGACCATTTTAACTCTATAAATTCTAAAATTCAGTTCACAACGGAGTTAGGGGCAAACAATTCCTTAGCTTTTCTAGATGCGTTAGTAATTCGGAATCTTGATAACCTTGAGCCATACCGTGTATAGAAAAAAGATATCTTAGGCCACGCTGAAAAAATAGTACGTGATTCCAATCGTCCGCCATATCAGGAGCTTACTGTACGCACTTTTCTGATTTTGTGTATTCTTATTTTGTGACTCGGCTATAACTTTTTGGAATGGTTTTTCTATAACCGTTGACCTTGGCGAGTTATATACTTGATTCTGGCTAAGCAAGTGATCATAATGCTGAAATGTGGACGTAGTTGTGGTAGTCGCACCTTAAACAGTTAGGCTCGTGCATTGGCGGTAAAATTACACGAATATTTCGAACGTGAGTCACAAAACCGTGGACTCCTTTTACCAGTGACTAGGTGCCCGTGGGAAAAGGTGATTGTCTCGTAATCTAACATCCAGAGTCGAATAAGAAAGCAGATTTAGTAGCATGGCTATAACACAAAGGAGTGGGAGTATGAAATTATTGAAAGCAGAGCTAATACAATTAATAAAGAGAAATAAACCACGTAAAAGTTTGTACGTTATAGGTAAATTTAGCTGAAGAGCACGAGCATAAGACTAGCAACCTACTACTACTAAAATAATGCTACTGGATTGATTTGGGCCCAAATCAGAGGCTAGTTCTTATATGAAATGTTCTAAATTCAAAAATTATAACTCTACTTTAACACACTTGCAATGAAAATATGTTATGCTTTTATAGGCTATGCAGCACGACACAACACCAAACCACCTTTTCCAGTAAAGATGATGGAAGGTTTACTGAAGGAATCATGTGCCCATGTCACAGAGAATGATTGACAAAAGTGGTGTAGAAAACAAAGAATATTATTATGGATGACTTTGAAAGGGACATTCATTTTGACTACATTATTGAAAATCCAAAATAATCTAAACAACGAGAGCTCTACTAGTTGTAGTGAAAGTGATTGAATAAATTTATTTTTAATAAAGTTTCAATTTTAAATTCACCTCTAGAAATAAGCAGTAACAAAAAATACGAAGAAACTGATAAATTTAAAATATATCGCATGTTTAAAATACATAGACTGTTTTTGAAGAGAAACTTACGCGCGTCAAGAATAAATCGCATCGGTTGAATTCGATGCATCGTTAATTAATACATTTCGAGTGTTTTTAAAGTATCGATGTATATCATACATTTGATCCTATTGCTGGTTGTGTTGGGGATTAGGGTTGGGTTTTTACATAATACATATTCATAAATACTCACGCCTGTCACCCAGAGGGGTAGACAGAGACTACAGACTTCAA